CCGGGTTTATTGTTGGTCATTCTGCTGCCGGTGAGTGTAAGCCCACCCTCAGCCAGACCTATATCCCCTTCATGGCGTCGCGTTGCCCATCATCACAACCAACAAGACACCGTTCACTGCTTACACGCATCATCAGCAGCCTCCTCTCTAACACTGTGGGGCATAGAGAACGTTATTCGAAGACAGAGACAAGCTGGCAGCGTTTATCTGCTCTGGTTTCCCGCATCCCCAGAATTCTCGCGAGAGACATGTCCTCTGGCCTCCTATCAGCCTATGGATGCTTCGGCGGACAAAACAGGAGGGCGCCATTTAATTTAGATGAAATCTTTTGCTTTTACTCCAAAGTTACCCCCTTCAATTGTGCTCTGTTTTGGTGTTCGTTTTTTTCGTACCAAGCTTCAAAAAGGACGACAACAACAACAACAAAGTACACATAGCTTGAAAACCTCTGGCCCCCCCTACAAAATGGTGGTCAATGTTTGTAAACAAGAGAAATCTATAAACGAGGAAGGACGGGAAAGCAGCAGATTAACTCATGATTATAGGCCGTCGACATATTGTGTTCCCAAAACAAGATAAGTAATAAAACACCCCCTTTCGATCGAGTGGGGACTCTTAAGGCTGCAGGCTAGTACATAGGCCCAATTTGCCTGCAGGGACGGAATAACATTTTGCATCCTGTCGATATCTCCGTCATTGGAATACTATGTAGCACGTGGACTGAAAGGTTTGAAAACAAGGATGGAATCGTCCAGCAGAACTGCTGGCTTGTATATTCTAAATGTATCGGACCCAACTGGAGCCCTCCAAATTGCTCAATTTTGCAATGCAGTGCACGTATTCATGTTTTCAACATGGCAATAGGCTTCATGAGCTTTGAGGGATGATCACCTTTCGAAGGAAATATCTTCAAGGGTCATTGGTTCAGACACTAAAATTGAAAGGAAATTAAATCATGAGGAAATAATCTTTAATTTGATGTATCTTGAACAGCAAAGAAACTTGACTTTTTCCTGACTTTTTGAAGTGGAGTATTTATCACTGTTATATAGAATTCCATATCTGCCGTCGTGCGTCGCCCGTCGTGCGTCGTCCGTCGTGCGTCGCCCGTCGTCCGTCGCCCGTCGTCCGTCGTGCGTCGTCCGTCGTGCGTCGCCCGTCGTCCGTCGTCCGTCGTGCGTCGCCCGTCGTGCGTCGTCCGTCGTGCGTCGCCCGTCGTCCGTCGCCCGTCGTCCGTCGCCCGTCGCCGGAACATTTTTNGGCTTTTGCATGTCCTATGCAGCCCATTTGATGGGCAACGCACGACGGGCGACGCACGACGGACGACGCACGACGGGCGACGTACGACGGGCGACACACGACGGGCGACGGACGACGCACGACGGGCGACGCACGACGGGCGACGGAAAATGGCATGTTTGGAACTGGTAAATGGCAGAATTGGGACACAACAAAAAGCAAAATGCGACGGACGACGGGCGACGCACGACACACGACGGGCGACGCACGACGCACGACGGGCGACGGCAGATATGGAATTCCATACTGTTAGCTACGGCAGCTTATTTTCAGGTCTGGATCTTCACGACTATGTTCACTATTTTGATACGGCGCCCTCTTGTGTCAGGGATGAAAGGGTCAAAGTTGACTGGCCGCGCCAACAAGTTATTGGACTTGTAGCTTAATCCATTTAATGTGGGTTATTGGCTTTTGGTTGAAATTTTGAATTTTCAAAGTGTACCCATTTAAGTAAATGACAATGATTACAATTACCTCACGTGATCTGAAATTCACGATACTAGCTCCGTGGTAAGCACCTGGTGATCACAGTGTTTGTTTTTCTCAGCTTTTTTGTTGAATTTTTTTCTCGCCCGGTAAATGCAACGGATCATTTCTTTTGGCAGTTGACTTTCATATCACAGTTTGCTGGCTTTTTTTAACGAACGGACAAAACGAATCAAGGTACAGTTGCAAACATTTCGGGCCAGGAAGCAATGTGTGAGTGTTAGACTTGGCAAGATAACACAGGAGGGAAATGTTATTATCTCAGGTGTCATATAAATTGTCTTTTGGTTTAGGTTTTGTAAATCGCAGACTGCATTACGAGAAACTCAAAGACATATAAGAATGTTGTTTCTTAGCGTTAAGGGGATTTCTTCCTCAAGATGCACACATTTATATAGGCTAATCCTCTTTCTTTCATATACCATGCACGTTGAGGAAATAAGTGATCACTTCATTTTGAGATATGTGAATTGGAATGACTGATTACACGATTGACATTTTACAGTCAGAAACCGTTAACAAAAGGGAACCAACACACCTTTCATTTAGCAGTCTTAATAAAGCACTGCGATGACGTCATTGCGCAGTTACACGCTTATCTCTATCATGATGGTTGGCTCAGCATAAGAACCCACGATGAGGATAAATTATAGTTATTTCAAACTTCCTGCTGTAAAATATCGTAACCGTTGAACACGATTTGTTTGTTGAACGGTCCATACACCGTCGCTTTTCTAGCTGATAAGACCGTCTGATGTGTTTATCTCCCACTTATGGACATTTAGTACAAAAGGTCACGCTTATTCTACGATGTTTTGACAAAGTTGCAAAGTCAATGGTGCACAACAAAAGAGGATTTATATCAAAGGAACATAACACAGCTGTATTTCAATCGGCAGCGATGCTGTAACTCATCAAAAGATTTTAATGGAGCGCCATTTGCAAAATAAATGATCGAATCTGGAGTTACGGTTTTACAAGGGCTAAAATTATAGTAGTTCTCGCACTGGTTTACATATTTTACAGAGACAATTGTTTATCAAACTAAATGTTCTACGCTATAAAACTAAACCTTAACACTCCAAAAATTAATGATCAAATAATTCTAACAATGTTAAAGCTTTAAATCATAATAAACTACAAAATACAGAAATCAAAGTTTAAACTTTCATTGACAGATTTCGAAACTTCCTGCTTTAAATTTCAAATTTTGCAAACATCAAATTTGGATTTGCGTTTTGCTCACAGCAGTAATTAACATGAATCGGATAACAGTGAATAATCTACAGGAGCAAATAAACTTTGGAACATTTAACTATTGGAGTTTAATATTAAAATCATGCTCTAAAAATTTCAACACGTTGTATGCCATATCACATCAAATCTTTCTTGCAAAAGAGAAAACTGCAATTACTATAGTCTGTACAACACGCTTCAGATTATCCACTCGGGCTTTCAGTTAAGACGACTCCGTGTTTTCTGGTTTTGTTTCTAATATCATTATTTACCATCAGCCTTCTTTCAGAAAAGTAGTATTTTTGTCATATTTTTTTACGCCCAATCAAGATACTCATTTACCCGTCAGTTACAATAGTCGTCCCCACTTGTGAACAACCTCGAACCGAATGTAATATCAAACGATACAATATGTTAGTCTCCTTTGGGGTAATTGCATCCGTTAGATTGCATCTGTTACTCCACAATCGCAGCTACGATTTTTGAAACATCAGTCGATAGGCCTAGTGTCCTATTTTAGTCATGCTGCTTGGAAAATGGAGCTGACAAGGTACAGAGCGTGAACTAACTTTGATAATATCCCGTGCATTTCGTAGTTCAAAGACGCTGTATGAAAGTCCTTTTTACTCTCTGTTTGAATGAAGTTCTCCATACACTCTGAATCGTGTTTGTGATTGGCAATTTCTGCAAAGATCTGAACCCTTCAAGTTCCGGCGGGAAGAAGAGTGTAGGCGCTTACCCTCTTGCCATGGACTTCGCGGCCCCCTTGTGGCGTCACGACATCCAG